CCCCGGAGCTGTTCTCTGGGTGGCAGGAGGCCTGTGCAGAGCCCAGCACAGCAGCCTTAGAGCAGCCACCATGTGGGCGGCAGCGCAGAGCTAGGTGAGGGGGGTGGGGCTAGTGCTGGGTGGACTCTGGGGGGGCTCTAAGGGATGGGGGGGCTGGTGGAGCTGAAGCCAGCTGTTTGCGGTGGCTCTGGGGGCCAGAGCTTTGGGTGGACCAATAACATTTTATTTGCATATTCATTATGTGTATAATGAATGATAAAAAAAGGTTGGGAACCATTGCCTCAGTCAGATGATGCCCTTGCTCTCGGGTTATCTGGAAATACCACATAGGATTCTGATGCGGGAAGAGAATTCTCTGCTTCTTGCTCTTGGCTGGGCCGCCAATGCCCGTAGGACAGTGCCCATTTCCCATTCTGGCCTGTAAGATCTGTGTCCTGCTCCTCAAATGCCATGCACCCAGGTTTTGGATTGATCTGAGATGTGAGAATTTCGGGAATTCCCCCCATACCGTGGTCGAATGAGAACCAGCTGAGGGATCCCAGTTTGATGGCTCAGCTCAGAAAGCGTGTCGTTGTTGCCGTGAGGCTTAAGGTCACAAGACCAGGACTGAGGGTCCTGTTGAGTGTTGTTAAATGTGGAACAGGAAATTAGCTCTGTGAGTGGTTTTGTTCCTTCCCCATCTGCGGCAGCTGGTGCTGAATCACATGCCTCAGAATTCCAGAGAAATGGTGCCAGCTTCAGGGGAAATGGTTCCATTCCTTTGAATTTGACAGCAGCAGTCCGGGGGCAGGGCGCGAGGACCAGCCTCTGGCCCCAGATCCCAGTGGGGGTGCACAGGGAGGAGTTTCTGAGCCCTGTGGTCACCCTCCCCCCACCATCGAGCTGGAGGGGAGAGGTTATGTGGGAAAGGAAGCCCCAGAGGCTGGCCAGTTGGCTCTGCGGGGGTGAGCTCTGTGGCCTGTGACTCCCTGCCAGGTCGGCAGTTCCGGGAAGCAATGCCCACCCCTTCTGCCCAGCTGGCCAGCAGCTCCAGCCCTGAGTTTGCCAGCATTGGCTCAGCCCCTCTCTGGCAGCCCAGGCCTGCCAACTTGTGGCCCTCAGATGGTGCCCCTGAGCACTGGGCATGGTCACTCAACCACAAGGCCCTGCAGGTGGGAACTGGGAAAATTAGAAGCATCTCTAGTTCCTGCTTTTTTCTGAACTGACCATTTGTCCTCTCTGCTTTCCTCTGGACCATGGAGTGACTGGGCCTCAGCTGTCTCTAGAGGAGGGAGGCTGTTTATACAGGGTAACTAGCCCACCACTGAGATACACCTGCATTTGGGGTGGGGCCAGTGCTCCCTGTAAGCTGAGCGCTTGGAAGGCTGCCCAGGTGAGATTCCAATGCTTCCTGGCTTATCGCAAAGCTCCCACCACTGGCACATGTGTTTCTATTGGTGGTGCACATCCACACATGCTGCAGTGCACAGAACAAAACTTATTCCACATAGGGACGGACAACATCGGAAGGAACATTGGTTGGGGCTCAGGGGTTCCTCACCTAGAGCTGAGCTAAAGTCACCAGCAGGGCAGGGCACAGGGGCTGGCTTGCCTCCCCCAGCAATGCAACCTACAAGAAGTGAACCCAGTTTGCTGTTGAAACTTACCCTGTTCCCTAAGTTTCCTCCATCCTGGTCCCGGCCTATCAGAGCCCTGCTTCTTTGTGGGAATGGCTGGGAGGGTGAAGCTTGTGCAGTGGTCATCCCTGAGTGTAAAAAAGTATGTTTGTGGTTGTCTTAGTGCTGGAAAGTGCATGCAATCATGTAAAATAACTAGCTGACCACTGGCCAGGGTGGAGTTCAGGTCATGTTTGGTCGGTGTTTTTTGTTTGTTTGTAGCTGTGTGTATCTCACTACTTTGAGACGCTCAGTTATTTGTTCTTTTCTTTTTTGCTCCCTCCCTATAACACCCTAAGTCCCCTCCTCCCCATGCTGACGTTTTTTTTCATATATAACTTGTCCATCCTCTGAGCTCTTTTACCTCCTGCCAGGCAGCATCCTGAAACCTCACATGTCCTAGGAGAGTATTTGCACCCCCTCAGCCCAGCACAGGATGGACCCCCTGCCTCTGCTCTTCTACTTTTGCACAGGTAAGTGCCAGCCACAGGCACTGGGAAGAGCTGAGCTCCTCCCCAGAGTTGCCCAGTGAGTACCCCTCTGGTAGGGGGATGGGAGCAGCTGGAGGCTCAGGAGCCCTGGGTCCTGTCCTCAGCTGGCACTGGGAGAGGAGTGGGGTCTGATGGGTTACAGCCTGGGGCCTGTGCACTAGGACTCCTGTTTTTTCCTTAGGTCTGGGAGGAGAACAGGTCTCTCGTGTCTGAGGGGCAGGGAGGGCTGGTTATGTGGACTCCTGGGTTCAGTTCCCTCTGCGTTCTGGTCCTCCTGACTCTCTGGGATGGGAGTGGGCACAGGTGCGACTGCCCTTCTCTGTGCGGTTGTGTGTTCGGTGTGATGGGCTGCAGTCACAGAAGGCTCCTTAGAATTGTTCCTTAGTGTACTGATCATGCCACTGACACCCGCCTTGCTCTCCCTGAGGCTCTCCACCACTCTGCCCTGCTGGGCCAGATCCTCTGGTCTCCTCCAGACCAGGCACAGAGCTGGGGTAACTGCCTCCCTGCAGAGCAATGCAGACACTGAACCACTTCAGCTCTGGAAGGTTGCAGGTCTAGGGCTCAGCATCCAGGAATTCAGCCCACAAAAGGGATCAAAAACCCAAATACATTTTTTTCTATATAAAAGTTTTACCCAGTGAAAGCTCATCAGGAAAGCCTCCTTTATCAATGTAAAAGAGATATGCATAGTGGTTGCTTCCCCCAGGAAACAATTGTTACAGTAGGCCAATTGTTACACTAGTAAGCAAAAGTATTTTATTAAGCACAAACAGTGGGATTTAAGTTGTTGCAAGTGAAAACAGATCTAAGTAAGTTACAGAATTAAAATGCATAGCTAGTTCTAATTCCCTAAAAGCTTATTGCACACAAATTCTTATCCTAAATAGCTGTTCTTATGTCACATATAATCTTCAAGTCACAGAGAGACTCTCAGCCCTCTTTAAAGTTCTTTGTATCCTTTTAAGGTCTATCAGGCAGTTTCCCAGGGTAGCTGAAGACCAAGGGCTGTTATCTTCCCCGTGCTTACATAGATTGTCCCCTAACATGGGACTCTTTTGTTTTACACTCCCCCCCTTGGAAAAATACCCAGTTCAAAATGGATGTCAGTCCCAGGTGGTATGGTCACATGTTTTCCTAGGACCAACCACTGTTTTGACTTACAGGACAGACAAAGCTTTTTACAAGTTGATGAGTTGATCACCAAGTTGTTAGGCTTTGGGGGGCATGGGTATTGGCTCTCGTTACCACACTGAAAACTATAAACAGATTCACACTTTGTAATTCTAACTTCACATACAGGAATGATACAAGCACCAAAATAGTCCAGGCAGCCCCAGCAGCCTGTAACATTAAAACGGATAGGTTACATGAGGTATTTTGTCCAAAGCATCTCTGAGGTATGCGCATCTAGAGTCACAAGCCAGTTTTGATCAAGCATGGGGGAGGGGAACCACCACATTTGATAGGATGTGGGTGTGTGGGTGTTGGCGGGAAAGTCCAGCAGGTATGTGGTGGATGCAGTTCTGCAATTGCTCAGTCCTGTAACACCACAGCAACTCCCCCCTCCTGCAGTGTCACATAGCGTTTGTCAGTGAGGCCTGGGTCCACCAAGCGATGGACGGGGGAAGCTTTGGGGTGACTGAGGATGAGGGGGATGGGCTAGGACTGGGAGATGGGGCCTGGAAAAGGATGAAGGGAAGAATGGGGAAGAGCACCTGAATTCCTCTCCTACCTTCAGCTCCTTTCCCCCTGGTCCCCAACTGCCCAACCCCACTTTGCCTCTTACGGCTCTGGGAGGGGGATATTTACCATCTTCCAGGTCTAAGGGGGGCAGCTCCAAGGGGACACTCCTTCACAGGCCTGGGTTTTCAGGGATGGAGAGGGCAGAAGGGAGGGGAGCGCTGCATCGGGGGAGTTGGCTACGCTGTGTGTTAGGGACTCGCTTTTGCTACTTATTGGTTGCCTGATGTTTTGTGTGTGGCATGAGTTTGGTGGGTCTCAGCTCTGGCTCCCATGACGCAAGCACTAATTGAGAGATGTGGCAGAGAGACCAAGAACAGCTTGGGCCAAGGAGCTTGGGTAGGAGCAGCGACATTATTTTACTCTGCCTTTGGCCCTGGTGTGACCACTGGCCCCTTCTGTAGCCAGTTCTGTAGCCCACAGTTCAAGAAGGGCGTTACTAAATTTGAGAAGGCTCAAAGAACAGCCATGAGACGGACTGAAGCATTGGAAAACCCACCTGATAGACTGAGTTCTTTGAGGCTACCATTATTTCGATTAACAAAATGAAGGCTAAGGGGTGCTGATCTCTGTCTGTAAATACCTTTCCGGAGAACACATATTGGCTCTTCAATCTAGCAGAGAAATGACTAACACAATCCAATGGATGAAGCAAGACACATTTCAATTGGAAAGAAGGTACAAATTTTTAACTGTGAGGGGAATTGAACACCGGAGCAGTTTACCAGGGGTCCTGGTGCATTCCCTGTCATGGGCAATTTTAAATGAAGACGGGATCTTTCTCTAAAGCAGGGTTGGGGAACCTTTTTTGGATCGGGGGCCACTGACCCACAGAAAATTCATTTGGGAGCCATACACAAAAAACCCTCACTGACATGGCACTCAACTGAGGAGAAAGACACTCTCCATATTCCCCTGGCATACCAGAGCCTAGGAGGACTCAGCCTAGTAGATTTTGTGTGTTCCAGCCCCTGCTGGCGATGTTTGTATGGGAAGCCAGACATGGCTCATGCAACATCCTATAGCTATAGTCCTGTGCTGTACCCTCCATAATATTGATGGAAAGGATTGGGGGAAGCTTCACTCAGTTAGACCATTGAGGCTCAGTGCCTGGAGGTTGAGTTTGAAAAGTCCAATATCAGGACTGTTAGAGGAGCCCAGTGCAGGGCAAGAAGGGTTAGAGATGCCTTGAGGCAGCAATTTGATGCTGAAAGTCAGTAATATGTGTTGCCACACATGGGAGTGCAGTGGCTGCATTGCAAAGGGATTATTTTGATTGGTCCATATGATGCACTTTGTGCTAAAGTGACCTTTGCTTTGCAGTGATGTGCTTGCTTGCTTGCTTTCATGCAGTAGAATATAAAAAAAAAAGATTGTTTTGAAATACAACAATTTCATTTATTAAAAACAAGAAACGTAAAACACACATGCAGCATGACACACCTGTACTTGCTGGGAGGGAAGAGGGATGGGAAGATGTCATGGATCAATTCTCCAACCTGTCGTTTTGAGTGTAAATAATGGGGGCTGGCTAATAGAATAAACTCTGGCTCTGTAACTTGTCTGGTTTCAGTGCCCTTGAGACTTGTGACAAAGCTCTTGCTGTCCTCATCTCTGTTCTGCTAGGAGTAGAAGAAATAAACAGATAATCAGCAGAGACAACAGGGCTCTGGATCTCCCAGTAAAGTGATTTCACGTAGGCATGTAAGTTTAAGGACACAAAAATTAACCAATAACTATTAACTAAACAAAAGAGGAAACACTTTTATTATTAAAACAAGACTACTGTTGCAAGCATAGTAAATGACTGGGTGTTAAAAGCCATGAATTGAAATAGATTCAGGGATTCTTCCTGGATTGTAGTTCTTAGTTATAAAACAGAAGAGAAAAACACTTTACCAGCTGAGATTTCCAAACCCCCAAACAAGGAAAACAAAACCCAACAGGCTAGCTAAACTTTTTCCTACTTTCACATTTTAATGAATTCAAGGATTCTGTTCCTGAGAGAGTCCATCTCTCCTGCTCTGTACCTGCTGGGAAACTGCTGCTTGACTCCAAACAAAGGGAAAAAACCCCTCTCTTGTTTGAAATTGCTTATATGCATTTCATTGGCTGAATGTCTAAAGCCCTCCTCCCTCAGTTGCAGCTCCAAGTTAGCTTGATGCTTTCCTCGCACTCCAGGTAAGTCAAACTCTCCCTTGCAGCTCTTATTCATGACAGAAGAAGTGAGACCCCAAGGATGTTTACAAGTTTGCATGTGTCCAGCAGGTTTCGTATACAGCCCTGTTGTCTCGTGCAGTGCAATGGAGGCTGCAGTTCCTCAGAGCTAACGTGCATAGGGATGGGGGCTGTGTGCATTGGTTGCCTGTGGGCATCTGCAGGGCAGGACAGTGAGAGGCGAGGTATGGAGTCTGGCAGGTTCTGGCTAGGGACAGGGTGATGGTCAAATTGTTTTGGTGGTGTGAGGAATGAATGGAAAACAGCTTTGGGATGCTGGCTGCAGGGGGAGCAGTCACACAGCTGCCCCGTTTCAAGTGCAAGAATGTCTGCTTGGTGCTCCATAATATTTAGGAACTGCTCCATGTTCTTTTATTCCTTCCTCTCACTGTCCCTCTGCTCCTTCAGTTTTTTTCTTTTCAGCAGCAGCTTGAAGCATGATGTCATGCAAAAAAATCCTTTTGAATTTTGTGAGGCTGTTTCCATGCCCTGCATAGCTTCTCATCAGGCGATAGCAAGGGGGGCTGGCATCCAAGGTTAAATTTGTGAAAACAAATGGCAACGTGTTCCAGCAGGACCATTGTTAACACTAGACAGAGCACTGCCCCAAACCATTTTAAACACAAGCACTGGTCACATGCCTAGCACCAGCTCTCTGTCTCGTAGTGACTGTGAGCATATGTAAGATACAAGTCCTTCACAATTGTGAGTTAAACATGAGAGCAGGAGAATGCATTGGTAGAGGGCTATACTATGGGCAGGTGTGATTCACTTGCTCCATGGGGCATGTGTGCCTGGTAGGATGTGGGCCAAGGCTATTGGTAGAGGGCTATACTATACTTTGGGCAGGTGTGCCTGGTAGGATGTGGGCCAAGGCTAGGGTTTGTGGGTAGGAAGGGGACTTGGTTGGTAAAGTCTTGGTATAAAAGTCACCACAGATTCTTTTTTTTTTTCAATGTCACATCTCTGTGAAGCTGGAACCTTGCAGGGCATAAGGGCAGGCAGACTTTGGGGTGGTGGGCAGACTTGGAGCTGGGATTGGTGAGTTTGAGAGACAGGGCTGAAAGCAGCATGAAGGGAAGATTGAAATTGCCTGACCCTGCCTTTTCTCCATCCAGCCCTCAAAGTTTCCAGCCAGAATTCCCCCCAATTCTGCATCTAACTTCCCCCACGTCTGCCCCTCCTGCAAATCTGGAGGAATTTTATTACTTCCCAGCAGGGATCTCTGCTCCACAGGTTTGGGCTTGCGGGGTGGAGAGGGGGGAGGAGAGCAGAGCCACCCTGACAGATTATCGCCACTTCCTACTTCTCTCCCACAATTTCATTTGCCTGATTGGCTGCCTTTCCCGAGGAGGCGGAAAGGGCGACCAGTCAGGGAGGGGTTTCCCCACTGCCCCTGGCCAGTCCTACAGGGGTGGCGATGCATCCGGGGAGTTGGCTACCCTCTGTGTTTGGGGTTCAGTGTAGGCTGTTTGGTGGTGTGTGTGACTTGAGCTTGGTGCGTCTCAGCTCTGGCTCCTGTGACACAAACTCAGCAATGTGATGCTGTGGCCAAAAGAACTAATCCCGTCGCTGTCTGTCTGAACAGGGCAGGGGTGTGTGCGTGTGTGTGTGTGTGTGTGTGTGTAGAGTTGAACTCTCCTCAGAAAGAGGAAAGTTGGCATTTATGCCCTTGGCAATAACCTTGTGATCCTCCAACTCCTTTTTGCATGAGCATCCCGACAATTTCAACACTGTGACATTTCAGATTAAAAGAGCTGCAAGCATGAAATCTGTGATTTTTAAAATCTGGTGACCATGATGTGGATCAGAATGGACAGTGGATTTAGCAGGGCCCTGCTTATGAGATTTATGTTTCAGTGGGGGTGTTCGGCAGTGGCCTTAGGCCAATGAGTGTGTGGAATGATGTGTGTCATATAGGGGCTAGATACCAGGGAATAGGTGGTGAGGAGCTGGAGTCAGGACACCCAGGTTCTATTCCTGGCATTGGGAGAGGAGTGGGGCATGGTGGTTTGGAGAGAGCTGTGTGTGTGTCTGGGGGGGGCAGAGCTGGAATTCAGTCCTGTAGCCAGAAACCCCCAGCTCTCAGTCACTCGCCTGTCCTCCACAGGGGAAGCTCTAACTGGAGACTGTTTAACCCCTGCAGTGCTGGCCCCCAGCCGTGGATTCAGCGTGGATGTGGAGGGACCCACCACCTTCCAGGAGGCAGCCGTGGGGTTCGGGCAGAGCGTGGTGCAGCTTGGGAATTCCAGCACTGGGGGGTAAGGCCCAAACATGGGCTCAGAGCCCCATATGACTTGTGCCCACCCTTGAGGGGGCTGTCTGGCTGGGCTGCCCTTCCTGGGCCTGTGATGAGGCATCTCCTGAACTCCCCTGCTTTCTCCCACAGGTTGATTATTGGGGCCCCACTGCAGATTGGAAATGTGAATGAAACCGGCAAAGTCTACAAGTGTGACGTGCACTCCAAAAGCTGCCAGGAGATCCCCATCCAGAGTAGGGCCTCTGCGCTGTGGGGTGGGAGCCAGGACCGCTGGGTTCTGTCCCCAGTTGTGCGGGGTGTAGTGGTTAGAGCAGGGGGAGCTGGGAGTGAGAAATCCTCAAGCCTATCCTATTCTCTGGGATGGGAGGAGAGTTTATTTGCTCTCCCTGTGGTGCATCTGTTCCCTCAGGTTGTCAACTTTCTAACCCCACAGAACTGAAACTCTTACCCTGCCCCTTCTCTGAGGCCTCACTCCATCCACCCCGTCCTGTCCCTTGCCCGCTCGTCACTCCCCTACTTCACATGCTCATTTCACCAGCTTTGGGCAGGGGGTTGGTTTGCAGGAGGACATGCAGGCTCCAGGAGGGAGTTTGGGTGCAGGAGGGGTTTTTGGGCTAGGACAGGGAGTTGAGGTGTGGGAAGGAGTGGGAGGTGCATGCTTCGGGCAGCGGTTACCTTGGAGGGATCCCTGGAAGTGGCTTGTAGGCGTAGGGGTGGCCAGGTGGTTCTCGGCACTGGGTGTGCCTGCAGGCCCACCCCCAACAGCTTCCATTGACTGCATTCCTGGCCAATGAAAGCTGTGGAGCCAGGGCATGAGGTGGGGGCAGTGTATGGAGTCTCCCTGCCTGTCCCTCTGTGTAGGACGTCGCTGCTTCTGAGAGCCATGCGGTGCCAGGTGGGGAGTCTTCCAGCCCTGCCAACAGGACTTTTAACGGTCTGGGCCCCTTATTTATCTGATGTTCTGGTCGAATCCCCCTGACAGCCCTACTCTGCCCTTTCAGGGCCTGCTGATGCCACGAACATGTCTCTCGGTTTATCTCTGGCTGCCCGAGGTTCCCAGTTCCTGGTAGGTACCACACCCGGGGGAGATGGGTGCTGGGACTCGGGTCCAGCATTATTCCTTTATGGTTCCATGGGACAGCTCCCCCCCCAAAGCCCACTCCTCACGGACGGTAGTAACTGGGCGGTGTCGGTGTGGCTGAAACAATGGTGCAGAGATGACAATTGGGTGATGTTACCATGGCAACATGGTTACTATGCAAGAGCTTTTGGTAATACCTGTAACTGAAGGGGCCACCTAGTAACATAGTAGGGAATGGTGGTAGCTAGGTAGCCTCGCTTTTGCAATAGGGGCTGTGAGATGATGATGGGAGGGAGGGAACTGGCTGATGCCTTCCTGACTGTGCTGACTTAACAGGAAGCATTGAAAGGGGGGTTGTTGCCATGGTGATGGTCACTGTGCACGGACACAGCAGGGAGCCCGGCAACCAGGTGACAGTGGCTGAATGTAGCCATTGCAAGGTGTGTGGCAAATAGGTGATGCCCATGTGGGGCTCCCCTCTCCCCTTTCTGGGAGTTGGATGCTCAGTCCTGGTGTCCTGTCTTTCCCAAGGGGGTCCTCTGCCTTTCTCTGCATATCTATGGTGGGGGATGGAGCAGGCCCCGGTCTCTCTTCCCCCACCTCAGTGCTCTGTTCAGAGGGATACCTGCTGACCCTGTGCCTTGTGTCCCAGGCCTGCGGCCCCACAGTGCACCGGGCCTGCGGGGAGAACATGTACATCAATGGCTACTGCTTCCTCCTGGACCAGAACCTCCGGCAGCTCCGGCGCATCCCGGACAGCCTGGCAGGTGAAGGGTGACACCAGTGTGAGTGGGGGACTACCATCCTGGAGCTATGGGTGGGTACATGGGCCATGAGGAGGTGCAGGGAAGATGGTTCTAGATGGGCCCATGGATCTGATAGGGGGTGAGATACCTGCCTTGAGGGGCCGATTGGTTTGATTCAGGATGTCAGTAGGAGCTGGCAGTCAGAACTGCTGGAGTGTGTGTCTGTTCACTGAAGGCAGTGGGGTATGTTAGGTTAGAGCAGGGGAGGTTGGGGGCCAGGACCCCTAAGTTCTGTCCCCAGCTTTGGGAGGGGTGGGTGCATTTTTCATTCCAGTGCATGTCACACACTGCTCTCAGGACCCCTCAACAACAGGGAAGGGATGATATTGTGACAGAAGGGACTACTGATAGGGATGTCCCTGGAGGTGTGTGGGGACTGGGACAACCCCCCCTCCACCATCCCAGGACCTTCCCCTGCCCTACCTCTTGCCATCTCTGTAAGCATCATAAAATCATAGAATTCTAGGGTGGGAAGAGACCTCAAGAGTTGAGTCCAGCCCCCTGCTCAAAGCAGGATCCACTCCAACTAAATCATCCCAGCCAGGGCTTTTTCAAGATGAGATTTAAAAACCTCTAGGGCTGGAGATTCCACCATCTCCTTAGGGAACCCATTCCAGGACTTTACCACCCTCCTAGAAAAATAGGAGTTCTTCTTTGAGTGGTTGCTCATGTCCATTTGAATTAGGTGTGCGCACCACATGCACTGCGTCTTCCAGAGCGTTTTCCCTAGTGGTACCTGTAGCGCTGGCAGGGCGCCCCCTGGAGTGATGCTGCCTTGGCGGGGCATAAGTACCCCTGCCAGTGCTCCCCCACCTCAGTTTCTTCTTACCGCCTGTGACAGTCGTTGGAGCGTGTCTCTCTGTTAGAGCAGTTAATGGTTCCCGTTTCTCTTAGTGTTGTAGATAGTTCTAAATTGTTCACATTAGTTAGATAGTTAGTAGTTCTTTATTTTTCTTCTCCCCCTTCGGGGGTGAAGAATGCCAGGGCTGCAAGACTTTAAGGCATGCGCTCTGTGCGCAAAGTTTATGCCCAAAGGAGACCCTCACGATAGTTGTCTGAAGTGTCTGGGTGAGGGCCACCTAACAGACGCCTGTAAGATCTGCAGGTCATTTAAGCTGCACACTAAGAGGGAGAGGGACTCCCGTTTAAAACTTCTCCTTGTGGAGGCTGCTTTACAGCTGGCACTGACTGGACACTTTGTGGTGCGCCGTTCATCGGCGTCCATGCGCGACGCTCCATCTCGGGAGCGGGCCTCGGTATCGAGGGCTCGGCACCGTTCTCACTCCCCGGCACCGAAGAGATCAAGAACGTCCCATGGTAGGTCTCAGAGCCGGATAGTACCAGATCTCCAGGGCACACGTCCTCGACTACCACTGTGCGGCGTAAGTGAGCGGGATGACCATCCAGCCTGGGTCAGCTGCCCTCGCATCATCACTCCACGCCGGACACTTTTGAGGTGGCGCAGGATCTCATTAGCCTCACTACCTCCCCTCCATCGTTGGCTGAGGCGGAGAGGTCGAGGTCGCCTACGCCAGAGGCTGTGTTGGCACTGGCTTTGCCTCCACACCGGCGCGATCGGCTGGCACCCGGTGCTTATGCA